GCTCACCGCTCCGTTGGTCAAGGTGAAGTCTCACACATTGTAGTCACATACTCGTTTTCAAAACGTTCATTTACTGCTTAGTTTTTCTCAAAATGTGACATATACTTCTATCCTGTTCTGTACATGTATTCACTTGCTGGTGACATTAATGAAATGTATGTGAATCCATGTGAGACGCAGAAGTGACTTCACAAAGATATAAAAATCACTTTTACAAAGGCACTACTTTTATCAATAAATGTGTTGTATCCATTTCCAGGTGACTTTTTGCTAACTTAGGATCAAGGAGCTCATACTCTACTGTTGGAATTAGGAAATAAATCCTTTTAACTCGAATGGATATGATTGACTTGTGTGTAATTCAACAAGAAAGGGAAGTTTTGAAGACAATTAATCGTGTTTTCAATTTACTAGCTAACTCTTGAGTTAAGTTTATTATGGAGCTCACATCATGGGCCATTTTAAATGAAACTTCCAGACACAAATTTGTCACCTTTCAAAGTCTAATTTGATGTAATTGAATTGATTCAAAGCTTAGCTCTATTTTGCCACGTCATTTAATGTTGCTGGTGTCTTAGAAACTCTGACTTCGCCTCTTTCCTGATCACATGTTTCTCTTCCCCTTTCACAGAGGAGTTCACTCGCGCGGTCTATGTGGCTACAGGCATCAAGCTGACCCATCACTTGGTCAACACAGTCTTCAAGATCTTCGATGAGGACCACGACGACAAACTCAGCCACAAGGAGTTCATTGGCGTCATGAAAGACCGGCTGCACCGTGGTGGCGGGGTGAGACAGCAGTGATCGTTTAGATGATTTCTATGTCTCTTTTTTGAAGCTGTGGGCAACAATGAGAAGCTGCTTGAGGACAGATGAGAAGGAAGGTAGCTTGGAGGTGTCTGGACTTTACAGCAGTACTGGACGATGTGATAGTCAGCTTCTTCTTTATGTCTAATCTGTCATGATGGATGCATGACACATGGATGTAAAGTCAAGTGGGGCAAATGTGGGTTGATGCTGAGCACAGAGATACATGCTTATTGTCAAACAGAGTTTGCTACTTCAGTAGTCTAATTACAACATCTTGTTAGCACTTGTTAATTTTTGAGTTCTGCTACTATTCATTACTGATACATCTTTCACCTCTGATGGAGAGGAGTAATGATTATGCAATAATACTGCCATCTAGTGGACGCCATGTGTCATAGTATCCCCCTCTCTCTCCCACGCTCACAGGGTGCCAGAGTGGAGGAGAAGTTCACCTCTTTTAGAACCTGCATGAAGAAGGAGCTTTCATCCAAATAGGTACAAACTGTTTCCCTTAGTCAGCGCTCTTTGTTAAATTGTACAGGTAAACAAATAATGTTTAGCATAAGAAGGAAAAATGCAACAACTGTTCCCTTACAGCCTTCCTCGGGTACACCCTCTCAGTACCTAGTCAGTCTTTTCACATGTGTTTTGAGGCCCACACTCTGCTCGCCTGAAGCATTGAGTTACACTGTAATATTAACGCCTGATCTAATGCTACTCGATACCAGCTTTAGTCTGCAGACATGAGCAGAGAGCGGTGCAGTTCAAAGCCATATGCATGTTTCAAAGGTAGAGCACCTCTTGGGAAAGAGCTAGAGTTTTCTCTGATAAACCTAAGAAAATCTGTGTGTTCTTGCACAAGATATAAAAAATGTTAAATTTAAATCCTCCGTTTGGCGGCATTATTTTGAGAATTTCATCATTACAAAAGTGCAGATTTGAAAAATGTGTTACTTGTTTTTATAATGTAAAATATTTTCTGCTCTGCCAGGAGTAAGCTTTAGAGATAAATACCACTCCTATGTGTCTTTTCAATAAGCTACACATCAGCTTGGCTATCCTGGCTGGGTCCAAATTGAACAAAATCCACCTATACCCACAGCTCCTAAGAGTGATAAAAAACATCTTTTATGTATCTTAATTTACACTTGAAACCAATGTGTGTAAGCTGCAGGTTGTGTTTGTAATGTGCCATATGAGGGCATGTTAGCCATGCTAACTGGCTGTAACTCTATCTGCACACATATGACAGTTGTATTTACTAGATATTAAAAAATGTTCTAACTTTCAGCATGAGCTACAAAAGTAAATCGGATTTTCTACAACTATTTATCATTGTGTAACCTCTGCGACCATTCCATTTTTTTTTTTTCAAATTAAAGTCATTAGTTTGTAGTTATTTGAGGTGAAAACACTTTTGTTTGTTGACGTCTGCAGGCTGTAAACCACATCTTTGGTCACTGCAGTTTTTTTCTGCACATTGCAGAACTATTTGTTTCTCTGTGGTTGGAGGTGTTATTGCCACTCAGTATTTACTCTTTGTCATGTAATATGAAAGAAAGAAACGACTAAGACTCTAAAAGAATGAATCCTTGTCTGCACTGTATGTAATGGCAGCAAGGTTTGTTCATACACATTTTGATCGCTCTCTCTCTCTGATTCGTCAACAGGTGAAATCCAATCATCAGTGCATGTCTGACAAAGTGGACAAGCTGCGCCTCACTGTGCTTTCTACAGGGAGAGTTGAAGAATTGGTTTATATTAGAAGTTCTGAAATAAACAGAATGAGGCACAAACAGGATGAGGTCGGCTTAATGGGGAGCTGTTGCAAGTTGTCAAATCAACAAAAAAAAAACATAAACCTGAAGAGACAATTCACTTAAGTCAGTGTAGCAGCGCTCTAAATCAGAACTATTTGTTTGCTGAAGTGCTTTTGCCTGCTTAGTAAAATATTTAAATATTTATTTATTCATCTATTTGTAAATATATTTATACATTTTAGATTGGGATCTCTTTATTTATTGATCTAAAAGTCCAAGATGGTCTTCTAGCAGCTCTGCTAACTCTCCTTCTGTCCTGAGCCGGGTTGTGGGCGACGGTAGCATTTCTCACATATTTTGTCTTTCTTGCGGCTCTGCAGCCCCCCTGCACAGATCAGCTCAGGACACTGCTCCCCCTCCTCCCTCCTCTTTCTTTCTTTCTCCCAAAGCGCTGCAGCTGAAATCCTGGAGGATCCTTAAGAGCCAGCAGGCCTGAACAAACTCTCTCAGGCGGTGGCTTTTCTCACTGTTTAACTACAGGCAGCTAACACTGTTAATCATTTCTTGGCTAGTACAGAAAAGTGCTATTTTTAAGTCCTCTTTATAAATAAATATGCAGAATATTGAAGCCATATGTTTGTTCCCCTCCTGGGACACTTAGCCTAAATTGTTGTCATTTTTGAAGTGTTCCATTGAAAGGCCTTCCCTTTATGCTCTGTGAAGAAGAGCTCACACTAAAGAGGATCCCTAACTTCTCCTGCTGTGCACCTTGTTACTGCTGCTTCCTGCTACAATGTTTGCTGTAAGTGCAATTCAGTACTTAAAAAGATGGAGTGAAGTTACCAACATGTAATATGCTTTAATATCAACCAGAAGTCTTTATTCTAAAGCAGACTTATTTGTGTTGTAGATTTTATCATGTGTTAGTTATTATACCTCTTGTAGAGTTTTGGAAACGTCTCGCTTTTTGTCATTCAGGCTTTGACTGTTACACTCGTGTGAGAGCGCAGGTGCATTCATGATGATATGTCACAATAAATAACATTTAAAAGATTTGCCTTGTTGATATATTTGTTGTTTTTCTCAACCATAAACACACACCTACTACCAACTGTGTTCCTGCTGTGTTGGGGTTTGGTATTCTCACTGCTTCAGAACAGGTGAACTGAACCAACTCAGCAAACTGCTGTTATGTTTTCTGTGTGTAGACAGCGGACTGATGGCAGGGCCACAGAAGAATACATTTAACAGCTTAATTCTAAACCTGAAGGCAAATCATTGACAGTATTAATCATTATGAAGCTGAGGCAGTGACACTCTAATCAGAAGTTTCATCTTTAAATGATTCATTGAGGAGGGTAATCATTTATATTTCCCTACTCTTATTCTGCAGAACCTCTTCAGGTAAGATCACATAGTTCTCTAAAGGGTTGTGAAGATTCCTGTTATATAGAGAAAAGATTTGGTTACGGCTACATTAAACACACTTCATCTGATAACTTTGCTTGTTAAGTGAACAGAAAATAAATGGACGCCTTTGCTTTTAAAATCAACACGACCAATGCTTAATGCCCACAGAGACATGACCCTCCTCTTGTGAATAAACTTCAAATTTTTATCAACTATTGCCTGTACTAGTTTCTTGTGGTTAAAAGGTGTTATTTCCCAGTAATTATGAACAATCCAATTCTTTTAAACAAGAATATCTCATAAAGAATGATCGATGCAGCAGACACAGACATCTCTAACATCTTTATTTACTTTTTATTTTACTTCATAAAACTGAAAAGCCGCTGATCCTGAGAACCAAGATGTGTGTGGTGCATGGTGAACTGTATGCCACTCCAACAATTGGCAACAGGTGTCTCACATTCAGAACAGAATTTATTTAATGTACTAATAGTCTATTCAAGCGAATCAGTGAAACGGGGATGCAGCTTGTCAGTTGCACACTGTGTTGTGTAGAGCTGCAAAATGTAGGATATTGTAAAACATCTGCAGGTGTAGTCGGTCATCATAAAGACTGCAGGTGTATCTTGGAGGCTTTGCCACCTTCACTGACAGGTAATGATATAATACAGCTGGAAACAACAGCTCTGACGCAAGAGGAGCACAAACAACCTGGTGAACAGAAAGTGAAAACAAAATGACATGTTTTATTAAAAATGACCATTTCTCACAACACCTTGCAAAGGCTGGGCGGCACCATTCAAAATGTTTTGTGTGTGTGTGTTGGTTTGTAGGGGATGTGCGTGAACAGGCTCCGTCTCAACACTCGCGAGGATGAACTCATTGAACCCATCTGGCTCACGGTGAAAAATGTGCCAGGCTTGCAGCATCTCGCGGACGCCATGGCAACCTGTGGGGAGGCAGCAGGGGCGGTCCTGACTCCGTGAGTGTGTGTGTGTGTGTGTGTGTGTGTGTGTGTGTGTGTGTGTGTGTGTGTGTGAGGTGTCTGATATTTTGTTGTAGTCTGTGCTAGTGGCTGAGTGAGCAGTACGATTAGAGGGGAGTAGAGCAGCAGCAGCAGCAGCAGCACTAGAGGCGGGAGGATGTTGCGTCTGTGCTACCGATTAGGCTGATCAGAGTCGGAGCTACGATGCAGTGACAGACTACAGGAAGACACACACCAACACACACATACATAGAGAGAGGGGATGATATGCTACTAGACTATGGCACCGTCGGGCTCGCGTAGTATCAAGAGGGGCTGTCAGAGAGTTTTGTACTGGATCCCGGTCCTCTTCATTGCCCTCATTGTGGCTTGGTCATACTACGCCTATGTTTTGCAGCTTTGCATAGGTAAGAAACCCAAGTGTGTGTAAGAGCAAGAGAAGGAGCTGTGTGTGTGTGTGTGTGTGTGTGTGTGTGTGTATGTCTGAGTGATCGTGTGTAGTACAGAAAGACAAGGTGGAGGAATGCCTCTGCGTTTGTGTGAATGTGTTGTGTGTGTGTGTGTGTGTGTGTGTGTGTGTGTATGGGTGTGTGTGTGAGAGAGAGAGAGAGTGTTTTTGGAGTGATGTGGTGGGGAGACATTTCTCTTCCTGCAGTTTCGTTTTGGATGCAGATGACCTGCTTGTTGGTGATGCATGTGTGTGGACAGTGTCAGTCACATGACAATAACAGTTCAACCAGGGATAGTCAGCACGCTGCTTACAAGACAGTTGCATTGTGTTTGCATGGTTTGTGTTTCTATGAAAAACACAAGTTCATTAGAAGAATTTCACGATCTGTTTTATTGTGAACAACTTTTTTAGGACATATACAATATCTTAGGAAGTCCATAAAAGGATTAGGGCCCCTCTATGAGATCCATTATCCCACACTACCACTCTATCAGCACTATCTTAAAGACTTACTGTAATAGCTTCAGGCTTGTGTAGTCACTGAGCTTCATTATCTGAATTGATATCCTCCACCACAACACCGGCAGTAGCATTATCTTCTGGCAAGAAGTCTGTCTGTAATGGCTTTTGAATCAGACAGGCCTCCTTCCTCCTCGCTCCCTCTGGCTGCTGAGCGTTGGATGGTATGGTTACAGAGAGCGAGCGTCCTCAGTGAACGCTGAAAACACAGTTGACCTGGATAGTGAGTAATGGTTTCTAGGATGTCTCAGAGGAGTCTCAGCAGCCTACTCCTGTGCTCCATTTGGCAGCTTGTCAAACCCCAAGGAAAGCAGATCTCTTCTGTCAAAACCGAGGATGAAATGGAGACGGTGTAATGAGACCAAACAGAGGAAAACACGGAGAGGGAGGGTTTGAAGGTCTGACTGTTTGTTCCCAATTCTGAACCGCTCCAAATTTAGCCAGACAAGCTATGAAGCTTTAACTGACATTGTGTGTTTCATCAGAGAGACCCAAGTATGATTCAGGAGTCATAGCGAAGCCGAAGGGGGAGCAGGAGAGGCTGCACAGGCCTCCTGAAATCAAATGGGCCAACATTTTTATTTTAGAACAACAAAAAACATGAATCTGACTTGATGAAGACACAAAACAACCACAAGATTCAAGAAACTACCAAAACGTCACACATCAAAACAACATCATCAGCACAGGAATATGATAATGAAAAACAACAACAAATAAAGAAAACAAAAACAAAACAACGACCATGAAAGCAAAAAAGAAAGCAAAAAACACCAACCAGATCGAGTTGACAATGACCACGAAGAGATGAAGAAAGTGTGTTTCTTACTGAATTGTTGGAGCGTTTGTTGGGTTTCGTCTGCTTTGGCCCGATGTTACATAATCTAATCATCATGTATTTGGGTAAACACTGAAATAGTGATATTATATTTTCGCTGTAGCACTTTATGGCTTGATGTCTTTACTGTCAGAGCCTCGTCGTGTCAGCCTGCCAGTTTCTGTCCCAAGATGAACCTTCCTCTAGAGTTACAGGACGCCCCGTCCCTGCTGAGACACCCTCTACCCTGCAGGGTGACAGAAAAAAGCTTAATCCCCTGTATGATCCTGATTTCTTTAAACCGTCTTGTTTTGCATCCCGGAGAACACACAAAATGTGATGCGTTGGAGTCACATGGGACAGTCAGAGGACAACACGAACAGAAGGGCAGGGCAGCGGCTGCTCAGGGCCAGCATGCGGTCTGCAAACACAGAGAGGGAGTTGTGTGAAAGTATCGTCAGCTGATACCTCTCGTTCAGCAGCTCAGTTAATCCCATTGTCTGGTTTACATAATTCACCCCCAGCAATCTGCGTATGACCCACTTTCTTTATAAATCACAGACTGTCAGCCTTTGAACATTTGGGCCTTTCCCCAAGATTGTTAAAATGTGAGATCAGGTGGTTCTTTTTGAGTTGCTGTAGCAGGATGGCAGAGGAGAGGGGAAAAGGAGTTTGGTAGAGACTGCAGTGCTTTCATACACACGGTAATATACTTCCCATCACATGCACTTAATCACACACACACATACTTATGCTTCTCTGTCGGACTCTTGGGCTTTTATGCTGGCAAGGCAGCATGCACACGATTTTTGGCTGTTTGCCTCAATTCAGCTCTCTGGCATACCTTTGCTCAGTCCGTACTGCGTGCATGCATTTGTGTGTATACTGCACTTTACAGGCTGTACAAAACTAATTGTAGTGGATGGATGTTTATTGTATATGCTATCCTAATAGTTGCTTAGACATTGGGACAAATGTAAAACTGTGTCAGTTTATCTTCTAACAGGTCTCCACTCGTCTCTTATCATGTTTATATTACGAGATCTTTAATGTGTATGTCTGTGAAGGTGCTGATGTTGACCTGTGATTGAACACATCACCCAGTCACATCTCTGGTGGTTGTAGCTGTCAGCATTTATATGAGAAATAACGCAGGATAGCAAGAGGTCCATGTGTTTTGTAAATTTGAAATCAGTTCCTGAACGTCTGTCAAACACATCAAGGAATGTTTTTCAAAAGCTTTAAAATAACTTTAATTTTCCTAATTGTGACCTACTGAATATTAAAGAGATGCTCCCGTGTGTTAAATTTTTCACTTGTTCATTCAGCACAAACCTAACTGTGTCTTTTTGTTTTGATATTTCAGAATCCATTGAAGACATTGGAGAAAAGGGTACGTTTCAACACCAGGAAGTGTTTTGACTTCTCTAATGTTTCATGTTGGATGTTGAGATGTGTTACATGAGGTTCAGTAGCTTTCAGTCTTTGTGGAGGAAGCCCTCAGCCAAACAATAAACAGAAACACGATCAACATGGATCAGCTGGGAGTGTTTCATGAGACTTTTATTAAACTGCAGACTTTAATTCTCCAAACATTTACATCCACAGAGTCCAGAGATGAATTAGAGCAGACCAAGACCTTTAATCATTTTTGGTTCCACAAACAGCCGGTTGGTTCAAGAGAACATTTCACTCTGTCCATCGCTTTAGTCTAGATGGAATATTTGAATTATTACATTTGACTCATATCTGGAAAACTGAGGGGCGTCCAAAACGGCTGTGTGGGGGAGCCTTAAAACTGCCTTCAGTAGATATCTTACTGATTGCTCCTTTAAACAACCAGGCCCAGAGAATAAACAATGATCCACCATGAACAAAACATTTGGCAACAGCAACAAGAAAACATTTTCAACAGGCAGAAACGTCGAGCAGAACCACACTCATGTTAAACTGCTACCTGCTGAGACTGTGTTGGGCTAGATAGAGTCTGAAATCAGGCAGAGAGAGAGAGAGTGAGTGGGGAATGACATGCAGGAAAGGAATCACAGGTCGGATTCAAACCCGGGCTGCCCGGGACTTTTGCCTCTGTACATGGGGCACATGCACTGACCACTAGGCCATCGGCATCCCAAAATCAAATTTTTAATCCCCTGTCGCTGTAAGATGTCAAATGATTCTCTGCCTTATCCTGCAAAATACAGAGCCAATGTGAAATGTTTACGTTATAGTTAAAGGGATACGTCACCCGTTGAAACATGAATCTGTATTGACATTGGGTCATATATGTAGTAGAAATGTGAAATACATTTTGAAGTTGGTGCCTTCTTGACGAGAAAAGGCAGAAAGTGTCTTTTTGGCTCATGTGGATGAAAGACACTAAATCCCAGAATGCACAGCACCGCAGCACCCACTAAGGTCCTCTATTTCAGAATCAGAAATACTTTATTATTCCCAGAGGGAAATTCGATCGATACAGTTTCTCCAAAATATACAATATAGCAGTAGAAATATAGTAATAAAAACATTTACAGACATATTTACTTCAACACATGAGGCCGTTTCCTCAACTGATTCAGAAATTTCTTCCAGAATTGATCTTGTAAATTCCTGTCAGAAAACAGACTCTATGTCTGTGTCCATAGGCAAACAGTGAGAGCACCGACTCTACCAGTCCGCCCCAGCTCGAGCCGGCCCGGGCTCCTCGTCCTCACAGCCGCCGACAGGCAGGCATCATGTCTCGGCTGCTGAGCTGGCAGCGACGGCAATATAGCAATATAGCCGCTAGGCGGTTGCTGCCGACAGGCCGGTCTTGTGTCGCGGTGGCCAGCGCCCAGCGGCCGCAGCAGCCAAAGCACAAGACCGGCCTGTCGGCAGCAGCCGTCTTGCCGCTATATTTATATTTTTTCTCCATTATCAGCTTTCTCCATAGAGCCTGTTAGCATAGCTTCCAAGCAATATGGCGGACGTTAAGTTTAGATTCTGGGAGTGAGTTCCCACCCACTGATCTGTGATTGGTCTGTAGCTTCAGTGGTCGAAAATATGAGGAACTAGCGTTGTAGTTTCACCCAGCTTACCACAACCGCTTCCAGTGACGCAAAAATCGTCATTTTGCGTCACTTGAAGATCCTTTTCAGACTCAGAAATACAAAGATTTCCCATCTCAGGGGAAAATGAGGGCGGGATGCACGACCATTCAAAAATACGACCAGGTTTCTAATGATACAAAACTTAATGCAAATGGGTGAAGTATCCCTTTAAAGTCAGGCTTGAGAACAGCAACATAAAACTGATGTCTGTAGATAAAGGTTCACAATCAATCCCCAGTGCCTGTTAAGAGTTTGAGAGAGCACTTTGTAAGTACTGTAGTTTAAACTTTAATGTAAGACGTCATTACATCCTGAATCAATAATTATGAGTTATTAGAGACAGACATGTGCTTTTAGTCCTGTTTCTTCTTTACATCGTTACACTGACATCTTCATAGCAAGTACAAAAATATGCAATAACATTTTCTGTGCCAGTAGCAGAAAAAATAAAACTGATTCACACCAATGTTAAAAACAATAAAGCTGCAAACTGAGTATAAACGGTTAGATGCACTGATGATGGATTATGAGTCTGACTTGTTTATGATCTGTTTCAGTTGTGTACCTGCTGGCGTACCATGTCATATTCATCATGTTCGTGTGGGCGTACTGGCAAACCATCTTCACCAAGCCAGTGAACCCCCTGAAGGAGGTGAGTCCGACAGAAACGCGGCGTTGTTGTCGGCTGGCTACGACGAGGCATGATACGAAGTGCAGATGTAGGTTACACAGCCTCCCTGCGTGATTGAACGCTGCATTTAGACTAATAATACTTTCCACTGCAAGTGCCTGAAGCTGCACTGTAATGGCCCTGATCCTGACCGCAGCACTTTAGCTCTACAGGGTGAATGCACACATGCATACATCTTAGAGAGGACGCTGGGAGAAAAGCCACCTTTGCATTTTATAGTGAAGTCAGGTGAAGCACACTTGCAGTGATATTCATCTCATATGAAGACTTTGCTTTATAAGAGCTGATGGCTGGATCACTTGAGGATTTGAGATTGTAATAAAAGTAAATTTTCATGTGTGCTGTGCTGTTTGTTATCCTCACAGTTATTTGTTGCTAGTGTTCAATCATAAATCGCCTGAGTGGCTGAAAGTAATATCGCAGCTCTGTGCTGCTTTGCTCCCATTTGCCTGCCGGGGCAGAAAGAGCCAAGACAAATGAAAGATAAAGAAAGACCCTTCACTGTCTACTGAGCTGCAGCTTCCCAGTAACAAAAAATCACTGCATTACCGACACTAACACAGCCGGCAGATAATCTGACAATTAAAATCACTGCTTGCAGATACAAGTATTGATAAATCACAGCAGGAGTTGTTCTTCTTTCCCCTCTGTGATCTGCCCTACATAGTTTCACCTGTCCTACTCTGACAAAGAGCTGCTGGAGCGTGAAGATCGGGGGGAGTCTCAGCAGGAGATCCTGAGGAGGATAGCCAAGGATCTGCCCATCTACACCCGCACCAACTCTGGAGGTACAGTAGAGCTCACATCGCTGCTGATGTGGAACAAGAGGAGAGGTGTGAATGACGGGGGCGGCTCTCAGAGCTCATTTCACCTCCGTCACCTTGTTAGTCTGTGGTCAAGTGTTAGGAGAGGCTGCTGCTGACGGCTGTGTGATTGAATTGGCTGTGTCTCCTCAGCAATCCGTTTCTGTGACCGCTGCCAGCTGCTGAAGCCTGATCGATGTCACCATTGTTCAGTCTGTGATAAGTATGGCTCTCTGCTCGTGCACCTATAGAGAAAAAGACCACACAGTGTATTGCAAAGAGTGAGATTCAATTACACTGATGTTTGACCCCGCTGTGTTACAGATGCATCCTGAAGATGGATCACCACTGCCCCTGGTATGTAGTGACATTAAACAGGCAAAGGGACTTTAAACAAAGATCAGTGACACTTTACCAGCGCAGTCTTTCTTGGTGCATCCTTTAATTAATGTCATCTTCACACACATCGATAGAAAAGCGTGATATATCGTCTACTGCAGGTCTCGATAACACACATCAGAGGGAAGCTTGAAGAGCTTGTTTACATGACAACATTTGACCTGTAGCCTCTCGTCTGCAACATGACAGATTCTGGCTGCAGAGGGAGACAAAACAAATATGATTCCACTGTCTGTCATTTTTATAAAATCACAATTGTTAATGCCGCTCTTCTCACAATAACAAAATGTTATTCCTGGAGTTCAGAGTCACACCAGAGGAACATTTATTTAGAGGAGCTCAATGTTGAAGTACAATTTGAAAAGGATTATTAAATAAGTGGGGCGGCAGCAGCTCAGTCTGTAGGGACCTGGGTTGGGAACCAGAGAGTCGCCGGCTCGAGCCCAGGTGCGGACCAATGCATGTTAAGTTTGTCTGGTAGCTGGACAGGTGTCAGGTCACATCCTGAGTACTGCTGGTGTACCCTTGAGCAAGGCAATAGCTGTAGTGCGCTCTCTGTGTAGCAGTGTGTAGCAGCACCACTCTGACATCTCTCCATGAATACATGTCCACAGGTCCTGTTTGTGCATGTGTGTGATTCAGGCCTATAAGCCAGAATTTCCCACAGAGATAAATAAAGTATGTAACATGTAAAGTGGACCCATTTGTTGTTTTGAGCAGCGCTCTTCAAAAAACAGAATCAAATGTGAACATGTCCTTCTGAATTCTTCGACAGATCAAATGTAAAATACAAAAGTCTGGCCTGATGGGCTGAAAACTTCCTGTTCTCCTGTATTCATGACACAAACCTTCTGATTGAAGGTTTTGTTTTTCAAGCTCAGCCGTCTACTTCTACACCCACCCTTCAATACCACCTTTCACATAAACCCACCATCCCAGTATTTGCTTCAGCATTTATATAAAACATGTAAATGTGATCCTATTGTTTTTGTAATGATCCTTTCATTCCTGCTGCAGGGTGAACAACTGTGTGGGATTCTCCAACTACAAATTCTTCATGCTCTTCTTGGCGTATTCACTACTCTACTGCCTTTTTATAACGGCTACGGATCTTCAATACTTCATTAAATTCTGGATGGTAAGGATGTCCATCTCAACATACGTTCTCGTTCACATACGTTCCTGGTTATCTAACAGTTAGTTGGTGCATTAAAATCTCTAATCAAATCTGAATGATTCTCTGAAAGATTCTGTGTTAAATTTGTGGCATTTGATTTTTTTTTCTCACAAGGCTGGAGGTAGAGCACATTTCCGTCTGAAAGAATACGTGGTATGAGCCAACGAGCTAGTTAGTGACAGTGACATAGAAACAGCTTGATAAGCCCAGTCGGCACATCTGAGTAGAAACCTCTTCCTGTCAGTGTTGTCTCATCTCTCAGTTCTTCTTGCACTTATGTTTATATATGTGTTGTTTCTCAATCAGAACGGTCTCCCAGACACACAGGCAAAGTTCCACATTCTGTTCCTCTTCTTCTCGGCCGCCATGTTTTCTGTCAGCCTGGCGTCACTTTTCATCTACCATTGCTGGCTCGTCTGCAAGAACAGGTCTACTCTGGGTAGGTGACGTTCTTGCACGTTTGTGTTAACTTGGAGGATGCAGTACCCATGCAGCCTCTGTTCCTCCTCTTTGTGTTTGAGCATCAGCTCTCCACCTGCACAAGGTTCTCTTTGCACTAATGATGGAAGGATGTTTTTTTTTCTTCTTTTTTCCACCATCCTCATCCGTGCAGAGGTTTGATGAAGCTCTCTGGGCTGTTATGAGACGGAGTGATTTCTCATTATGCGTGCACAGTGGCACACTTTGTCTGTGTGGAGGAGAGTGGATTATCCTGAGGAGTATGTTACAGTGAAATGCAAAGACACAAGGCTCAGAGCAGTAAGGAGCTTAGAAACAGAAGCTGTGAGGGGAAGTCACACATGGTGGCACGCACTAAGATGTCCCTTTCCTGTACAACAAAGACACTTTCATTCAGAGTTTTTCCACCGATTCAGCCATTCAGCAGGAATCCTCCAGCAGGAATGTGTTGATCCGTTGTCTGAATGAGCTTCTGTTGATAGTCTGAATAACAGCTTACATAAAGACTGAGAGGGAGTGCGTTTTTTTTTTCATATTCTCCTCTTGTGTGTCTCCTCTAGAGGCTGTGCGTGCTCCAGTGTTTCGCCACGGCACAGATAAGAACGGCTTCAGTCTGGGTCTGAATAAGAACTTCCGCCAGGTCTTTGGGGATGAAGTGAAATACTGGCCCATTCCAGTTTTCTCCAGGTAAACATTTATTTCATATAAAATCAATTTAGAACAAGAAACATCACGAGACCAAAGAAGGACTAAAGAATCATCTGCAACAAATCAACACCGTGTTAAGAAATGATTTCTAACAATTCTGGCAGGTGATTTGACCGTTTAGGAGACCTGATGAGCAGCAGTACAGAGTCCAAACTGAAGCATGATCAGGCTAAAGACAGAGCTGCAGGTCTGTCACCGTGCAGTAGGCGTTTAGCTGCCTGAATCTCACAATATGTTTCTTAATGTGTCTATGACACCATGTGGATCTTTTCCTCTCTCTGTCAATCATTGTAAAATATTTCCACAAAACAGTTAGATGATAAATGATGACAGACAAACCTGAGGTAGAGATTGTATTTAAGAAATGATCGATGCACGTTAATATTAAATGTGATTGTTTAGTGCCTTAATATTCATAGAGGCCAATTTTTTTATATATATATATATATATATATGTATAGAGAGAGAGAGAGAGAGAGAGAGGTGCCAGGTCACTCCTGAGTGCTGCTGAGGTTTCCTTGAGCAAGGCACCGAATCCCCAACCGCCCTGGTGCACTCCCTGTTTAGCACTCTGACGTCTCTCTACTAATGCATGTCCACAGCTCCTGTTAGTGTGAGTAGCGTGTCTCTCAATAACAGAGGGTAGAATTTCCCTCAGGGGTTTATAAAGTATATCAAATTCAGAAAAAATACAAATAAATAAAAAGGAAAAAATATCAATATATAGAGTCATCATCTCTCAACAGGAAGGTCAGGGGTTCGAGCCCCAGCTCCTGGAGCAACATGTCCAATGTGTCCTTGGGCAAGACATTTAACCTTAAGTTGTTCCCGCTGCTTCGACTGCGGCCTATAAATGTGTCTGAATGGATTAGTTACTTCTGATGATCACTTTACATATAAGCCTCTACCATCAGGGTGTGAATGTGTAGCTGTGACCTGTGCTGTAAAAGTAGAAAAGCGCTTTACAGGCTCAAGTGTATTTACCACGAGTAAAACTCTTTTCAAAGCCTCTGTCTGCTCCCCCTGCACCCATCAATATAAATGATAAATAAATGAGGTCAATGATTTATATATGGATTCAAAAATTATTTAAAAATCAAACCACACAGTGTCTTTTTTTCTTCTTCAGATTTGTCTTCTGTAGTTCAAATGATTTAGTCAGGATGTCAGAGAAGTGTTGAATGTCTGAAGACTCTGTTCAGCTCGAGCATTAGAGTCAATGAGGTGAAAACAAAAGGATTGAATGGAGGGAAAAGACCTCAAAGCAGAAAAGAGAGCATCCCTTCAGTAAACAACAACATCAACATTATGAATTAAAGAGAAGCTCCAGCTTTGAGAATCAGAGATTCATGCTCACACAGTAAACAGTAAATAAGTAGAGTTTTCTTTGCGATCACAGTCAAACTATGAAAACATAAACTAACAAACTTCACATGTTTTATAAACAAAACAAAATACGGAGGCCCATTTGTTCCAATTTTGCAACTTGGTGAGGTTTATTTTGTGATCTAACTCAAAATAAAACTTAAAAACATGGAAACCTTCAGTTTTTGTTCTTTGCAGAACATTTGATGAATAAGTGAGAATAAGTTCAACTTTCTGTATATATAAGGATACATCACTGAGTTCATTGACTTTATGACAATTGTCAGTTTGACCTTTTTACATAATACTTGTTTTTTCTTTTATAACATGGATGTACATCAACGCAACCTCTGTCTTTTTTTTCTATAATTTCCATTAATGACTTTTAAAAAAGATAACAGTTAGCTCCACTGATGCTAACAGTTTCACCTATTTAGATTTTCTTATGTTTCTTATTCAAACATCAAACTCTTTACTGGTTTCCAGTTTAGGCGACGGCTGCTCGTTCCCAGCCTGTCTGGTGAACCTGGACCCTGAGCAGCCCTCTTCACCCACCAACTCCAACCCTGTAAACAAAGTGTGAGTACAAACAAGAATAAAAAAGTAGATCCCATTACATCACAGAAGACAAAATGACTATGCATGACTTCTTCAGCTTCTAGCAGTTTTACTTAACCCTTTATATTAAAACGATGCACTGCAGCATTTAGTGGTGTAAAATGAGTCTTTCTGAATACAGGATTAAAGACCAAAGATATTTTTATATTTTAAAGAGGGATGCGAGTGCTGAGATTTTTTAAGTGAGCATGTGATTCCTAACCATATTGGCCGACCTACCTTTGATTATTCGTGCTTCCAGTGCAGCAGAGGGCCGCCAGTTCCCTTCAAAGCCGCTGAGGGAGTCTCAGAGTCGACTGCTCACCAGCACCCCCTCCTGGTCAGAGAGTGACAGTGCAACAGACAAAGACAGGAAGGGTGGGATCATGTTATCCTCTTTATAAATAATTTTCCAAAACCCAAAGAAAACACATTTAAAAGAGTAAAAAAAAAAGAAAAAAAGTTAGATCTAACAAAACCTTTTGTTTCTTTAGGTGCCAGCAACCCGGTGATGATCATTGAAAACGAGGCGTAACCAGAGACCGGAGAGCTATTGGTGACACCTTCATCCCAGAAGAGTACGTTTACAGTCGTGTAGAAAGTACTCACACATATTTAAAAAAATCTCTTAGTTTGTGTTTTACACAAACAGGTCTATGCTGCCCCCTTCTCTGTGATGCTATAACAAACCTCTTCTGCTGCTATCTCAAAGTATCTGAGCTTCAGGACAAAATGATTGAAATTAAAAATGCATTCCAACATCCCATGATCTCCTGTTTCTCAATGACAAAGCACAGAGCAGCAGTGGAAGAAGAGCGGTTTTGTTTTTCACTTTGTATAATAGGAGATTATTTCTATGTAATGGTAGAATTTGTCTCGTGTGCCAAATGTTTGCACATCCAGTATAGCTTATAGAAGTGTTCATGTGACTGGTGTTCCTTTAGTCTTTTGTTTCGTTCTAAAAAGGGGGTGGGCAGGTTTTCCACCGACCACGTTTGAGTGTCGTGAAAGTCCAAAAATGATGCATGCTCTCACCTCAGGATGTCTACACACACTGTTGTAATGAACTGTACCACAAGATGTTCTGCCCTTTGCTTGGAAAAAAAAAAAGGTGTATTTTAATTAGTCATCTGAATAAGGGCTCTTCAGACTTGTTTTAGCATGAGCGAGGATTTTACTGTCATACGGGAACACCTGAGAGCGGGTGCTGCTCTGTGCTGCTCTGTGCTGCAACAGTGTGTGTGTGTGTGTGTGTGTGTGTGTGTGTGTGTGTGTCTGCCAAATATCTACACTTCTGTCTGGCAGTCTGTGCTACACAACCAACTCCCGGCCAAAAGCCTCCCGACCGTCTCCCCGGGGTTCACAGGCACACCGACCAGCCGCCAGGAAAGCCTGCAGATCTGCTCACCATCAAAAAAAAAGCAGATCCTGCTCAGTGTTTTTCTTTGACATTGTGAATGCACTGCAGAGCAAACAAAAACATTTTAAAAAAAGGAAAAAAAAGAAAAAAGCTCCAGTGGCTTTGTACAGTTTATTTTCCCCCTCTGAGGATTCTCTCTGTTCTCATCTGTGGCTGGAAACCATCTCTAAAAATGTATTTGGAAGAATGTATGCTTGTTACAAAACCCTACATGGTGACAGTGTTGCTCTATATTTTTCTATTCTACTGTCTGTATGACTCTAAAGACAATATGGATGTGTGAGTAATGTACTGTACAATTGTGATGCCTTATAAGAATAAAAAACAAGCTCATCTTCAGCCTCCTTACTCGACTCTTCACTGCACTGGAAAGGATCGACTCATGAAAGAGATGTCATTGCCCAGAGTGTGTTATGGTAGAAAATTGTCAAGCCTTTATTTACATTATAATCTAAAAACAATGCTCTTGAATATTGCATAATTCTTCTTTAACTTGTGGAAGATGTGCTGCAGAAAAGAAGTGGTCAGTTTGACGCAGTGCAAGCTTAAATAAGTCATGAACCTACACTTCAACACACCTGTGAGCGTTCAGAGTGCCATCACACCTCAGCATTTATTCAAACTTCTTAGTACATGCAGCTGTTCAACGCAGCATGGGTGAAAAGGAAAACAATACAAAAACAAATGCCATTCAATGGTCAGAACGTCAGGAGAAATGAACTCGACTGGAACAGAAAGTTGCATGTTTCAAAAGCAACATGTTTGGTTTTTTTTCCCTTCTCATGAGAAAAAGTGTTTTTCTTCTTTTATTACAACACTGAAACTCTACAAAACCTTCACTTCAATTAAAAAAAATGAAAATATACTCTCAACAGAGTAGTTCAGGGCAACTTCTCCTAAAGCAGGCAAGTGTTTGAAACGCTTTTTTAAATTTCTTTTTTCAAGCTCGGCTGAATTCGGTTTAAACCGGAACAAGACCATGTAGAGGCGTTGCAGACGTCTTACGTGTGTGCTTGTGTCAATGAGGGTGTTTATATGCACAAAGTATCCACATTCCTCAAATGAAAACTCTGTATGCTTTAGTACATACTGGATATAACTCTTTGCATAAGACGTCTCTGAACATTTTCAGGACTAGGAATTGAAAATCAGCAGCTGATAGGTCAAGAAGAAATGTGAAGCTTGATCCAAAGACCACTGGACTTAGGTGACAATCTTGAAGACGTTTCAGCGCTCCTCTGAAAGGCTTTACGAAACGTATTCAAGAGCTTCAACCAAGTCCACTTGTCTTTGGGTCAAGCCTCCACTTCACCATGACCTGGAAGACTGAGAACCTACACAGATCAAGAAGAAATGGTTTTCAGGTTTCCCCTGTAGGATCTCTGTACCAGATGCAAACTAAAGTTTGTAAATTAAAGGCTTCTCCAAGTGGGCTAAGAGTATATTTGACATTCACTTCATATGTACAAAAGGCAAAATAAACTTCAATGAGATGTTCATGTGCAGGTAAACACGCTCACTGAGAGCTCCCTTTCTCATCCTCATACAAAAAGTGAACGGGGCGAGAGTACCACCATGTGGAGTCTTAGTGTTTATCAGGTCATCTTTTCCATGTCAGATAAGCAGCACAATAAATTAAAAGTTTAAAAGCTAAGAATGCAGCTTATATTAAGGCTGAGTGTGGTGATGTTAAACTTTGACATGTTCACGATGTAAAACAAGGAACATACAGAAGGCAACAAAGAGGAGAGAGACACCAGAAACATTTTCAGCTTTCCATATAAAATCAGGTTAGAGCTTTAAAGTGCAAAACATGTCTACAGAACATCTTAGGAAAACTAAAATCCCATCTTTTCAAGCATGTTAAATTGAACTGACCCAACCAGACTGTCTAAACTGCTTCATAGGATTAAAAGACTAAACTCTGTCTCACACTCACACACACACACACACACACACACACACACACACACACACACACACACACACACACACACACACACACACACACACACACACACACACACACACACACACACACACACACACACACACACACACACACACACACACACACACACACACACACACACACACACACACACACAGCTAGCAGGGGGCGTGTGTGAGGCCAGCTGGGTCATTTTTTGATCATTTTCAGTGATCTAAGGTGAGCAGAGGCTATGAGAAGCAGCTTGCTAAATGATGTGTGTATGTCTTTCTTTTCCTACATTATTATCATCCAGTTGGTAAAAGCCTGCTCCAGTGCCACACTGAGTGTGTGTGTGAACAGCAGGATGGGAAGTTTGGGAGTGATGTCACGACTGCTGCTTGTTAGCCTCCTCTTCGTAAGCGTTCCCTGTTCCGTTCTGGACGTAGGCAGAACCAGAGCTGAGCCCGTACAAGTGCCCACAGTACTTTGCATCGTCGATATGATCCTCAAAGAACATCTGTGGGAGGGGGAAAAAAAACACAGGACACTAAAGTCACCTGCACAGTCATTCACCATCATGTGATTTACTTCATCTTATAACCCAGTCATCTAGAAAAGATCCTGAATAAAGGTTGTGAAAGATAACTTTTTTTAACCCTCCAGTCATTTTTTAACCCTAGAGTCATTAGTGGACAAAAATGTACACTTCCAAAAACATTCATAAAAATGTTTAAGTTTGTTTGTTAAAGTTGTTTTTGAACATATATTTGGGTAACCTAAGTTACTACCGACCCACAAAATGTGAAATAAACACACCAAGTCCTTTGTTTGTGGTCTGCTTAAGTCTTACAACACAGAGAGAAATGCTCCGTTTCAAATTTGCTCTCTTGAACCCTTTTCACACATAACGGAAATCTCCTGAAAAACTCCGGAGATTTGGCTACCCGGAGGGTCTTTAGGCTATGTGTGAACGCAAACATCTGAATTTTTTGCGCTGACTTTACCCAGAGATTCTCCGACCAGACCCCTAGTATTTTTTCCGCAGAAAATCCGAGTGAGCTGATGTGAGAACACAGCAACATATACTCCGGAGATTTCACCTCGAGCCAATGGGACGAGAATGACGTTAATATACAGTGACCGGCTAAAGTGTCTGCACGCGACCACTAACGGCTGCATTCTGTTTTCTGTTCGTCAGTATGTTGTTCTCCTCTCTTTTGTGGATGTTGTCATTCCATTGGATTACACACAGCATTGATATAAAGACAAATATTCTCATTATAGCGTCGTGTAGCGGACTCTGTTGCTACGACCGCTACTTCCGCGTTGTTTATTTACGTCACGTCTTACCTCAGGGAATGCCCCGACCCCCCTCTGACAGGTAAAGTCCCCCGCTGTGAGGAGCATATGTGAACGGCTAGGTCGGGAGAATCTCCAGAGCGGTCCTTCTGTAATTATCTAGATATTATCTGGAGTGCATATGTGAAAACAGCTTTTGTGATGTCACACTGGGATTCTGGTAACAAAAATCCCCTCCCCTCCCCTGATATCTCCCCACTGGATTGTTGATGGACGGCTTGCCTGAACAACACAAAGGAAGGTATTTTACCTGCTTTTTGTAAGTGTCTCGAGATAACACTTGTTATGAGTTGACGCTATACAAATAAAAATTGATTGGTATCTCCACCCATGAACTCTACCCCCCAGCCTAGAACAAAACTTTTGTGCAGGTCTGCCATTTTTATTCTCGCTACAGAGGAGTGATGTCTACCTGGAAAACTCAGGGGGGGGGGGGTCATTACATTTAAAGAGACACACACACCAAAACGGAGCGTTCTGAGAGAGCTGGTTTCTACAGGGTCACAAACCTCCTCTGGTGCTTGATTCATGTTATATTTTGACCAAAGCTCAGCACAGATGTTTCATTTAGACCACAGGGGGCTGTTTGAAAAGGTGGAGAAGAGGGATAATATGTCCTCTTTAAATATAAATATTTTCCCCAATTTTTTGGTTTGCATCTTTTAATCAACATCAGTCCTGATCAAAACTACCAAATACTTAATTATTTTCAGGATTTTATACATTTAAATGCCATTTAGATGACATGATGTCACTGTTGTTTTTCAGGAAAACACATTAAAACACAAGTTTCTATAAAATATATGAGGGGGGGGGCTGGGGGACTTTTTTTTAAACACTTGGATATGTCAAAGATTATCCAGAACATTGATGAAATGGATTATTAGTTTTTGTGCAAGTTTGCCTCCCTCTTGAGCCACTCATGGACAAAAATGTCTGCTTCCCAAAACTGCTATAAAATAATACAGAATATTTTCTCCCATTCTTTTGTGGTTAAATGTTTTCATCAACATCAGTCCTGATCAAAACTATTAAATATCCAATTATTTTCAGGATTTTAACCCTTTTAAAAAAATGATTCCAAAATAAAAGTGGCAAATTCAGCCTTTTGGACAGAAGTGTCCAGAGTGATATCTGAGGATTAAACTGTTGGCTGGACAAAACAAAAGGTCGAGTTAAAAATAATTCTCTGATCAATGACACTAATACTTTGCCAATGACTCACTTAATGACGCCTGATGCTCTCCTTGAACCTGTTTTTCTGGCTCACACAGTGTTTTTCTAAACTTCTTTGGCTCGTGTCGCATCATGAGAGGAAAATACATTTTCATGAACTGAACTCATGTATGAACATAAATTTGCCTCTTTGAGTTTCTACAGAAAGATTATATTGTACATCTTAGCATTTCTGTCTTTCTCTCATTATTTATTTATCTTTATATTGTAACATTCATTCTCATTATTATTACTTTTACTTTCCCTCATAAGCCCTCTGTGGACAAGTAGCATGTGTAATAAAAAACTCAAACAATGCACCAGGTTCGTCAAATGTGATTTTGATGTCCATGTCAAGTTAAAAAAAATCTATCTATCCATCATCATCCATCTATCTATCTATCTATCTATCTGTCTTTAACATTGTACTGCCTCTTCTACATACTTCACATAATTCATACCTGTGCCTATTTAAAGTGAAAACACACCTTGATGCTTATTCAGACATGAGACATGCCACAGTAAACTGCCATCAGATGAATATTAACATGTGCATGTCTGAAAGGTGATTGCATAACGCTGTGCTATCATGTTGAGGTCAAAGTATTAACATTCATAGTCATAAACTGTGTAAACAGGTGTCTTCAGCTTGAGGAGCCTACCTCTCTCATCTTGAAGAAAGCCATGCCTGTGAGTAAAGAGTCAGAGCCGGCCTGATGCTGTGGTCCAATCCTCTCCAGCTCCAGCTGCTCAGCTACTTCCTGCAGCCCCCCCTGGAAACAAAACACCGTAAGCTCCCTCAAATCTACGCTTCTGGTCAAACAAAGACCACACTCACAACAGATCTCAACACATCTCGAGGTGTAGCGGTTTAAAAATGAATGAAAGAGGAGATACTTATGTGTGCTACTTGCTGAAATATTTAGTTACCTTCAGGTTTTTACAACTCTTCATGAGGTACTTGACATCATAAATAACTGGAAAGTACAAGCGGAGAATCTCAAAGAAGTCCACCTCCTCCTCAGGCAAGTTAGCATTGGACAGAATTTTGATCAGGTATCCAAAGTCATAGCCACTATAAATCACACAAATACACAAATACACACACATCGTTTATCTCTGTCTGAAGAAATCAGATAACAGGGGATAGATAGATATTCACTTTCAATCTGCCATGACACTAAGACAATTAAACACACAATGACAGGCTCGGTTTTTTGAGTGGCCGGTCTCACTCCCGGATGCAAGACTGAACACTCATACAAGGATGTACCATACCATAAAAAAAGATCCTGTCATTTAGAGATGTTGCTAACATAAGATCAATGGCTAATGTCTATTTTCCAAAGCCTGGTTTTCTTTGACATCAGGTTGCCATGGAGACACAGGGGGAAAACTGAGAGCGACATGAAGATGTTGATGTTAAGCAGCAGAGTGCAGGAAATACAGGTCACAAGTATCTCTGTCTTTACAAGACTAACGTTTCTTACACTTTGCAGCAACTTTATATAAAAAAAAAATGTACTGGGCTTTTTTTAAACATGCTTAAAGCCAAATCTTCACAGTTCTGCGTAACATCTTACCTCTCACTTCAAAACAACAGGAAATTAAAGATAAATAAATATTAGCATTAACTAGTGCATCGCGATTCATTAAGGTCAGAAATTGTCTGAAGACTCATCCTGCACTCAGGGGTGTTTACTCATTTTTTGACCAATTAAAACCAAATTGTCAACACGTTAAGTCCCGCCTTATTTCTTGTGATTGGTTCCTGTTTGTGCTACGCTTTTGAAATACGTCACGACACGGCAGTACGTTACTCTCGAAGTTCTGTTTCATGGCGACTTTAAATAAATACACTTTATGGAGTGCTGGTTTCATTTATAAAACAAATGGGGGCATCATGACTCTGGACCAAAGTGTCGCAGGCTGTGGGTTTGTACTTCACAACACTGAGAGCTTAACTACTGAACTGGTAGCTGAGCAGGATTGCAAACTCCACATGGCCAAAACATCTGTGTTGCTGATCTGTCTGTTGTTTTTGTATTTCAGGTTGTTTCTGTTGTCTGATGTCAGAACAAGAACCTGCTGTAAACCAGTTTTAACTGAGTCAGGCCTGTTTAACTGTAACTTTTGTAATGTTACTTGTCATCCTTTGTCTGTATAATAATAATAAATTAAATGAAAACAGATGGTACAAGAGAGAGCTACAGGGCCGTTTAAAAACTGCATGTTGTGGACTTTGATGAACACAATGGAAATCATCATGCAGGATGACGGTATGAACTTTTTTCCTTCTGGGAAACCTCCCAAAACAGATTGTGTCTTATTTACCAGTGCAGCTTATATTTCAAAATAATTAAATATACTGCATGATATATATATGTACACAGAGAGAGAGAGGTGGAAAAAACAAAATTTTGGAGATACCAACGTCAGCATAATGTGTTTCTGTAACTGCTTTTTGTTATCTAACTGACAAGAACACAGTAATAAAACCAGAAGAGATGTTGTGGCTGGACGCATAGATAGTTTATGAAATTGTCTAATCTTCCTAAATACTGTGGGATAACTTGTGATGCTGCCACAATTCAGACATAGCTTAGTGGATAGATAAATAGCTACATAATCAGAATACCTGTGAAAAGACAGCCACTTGACCCCATCACAGAGCACCACTCCTGATGTCATTAGCAGCTCGGCAAAGTACAGCGTCTCGATGCCTTCGTCCTCGTGCTTCTTGAACTGGATCCCTGAGGTGGTCAGGAGCTCAATGGAGTCCTGTGCATACATATCTTCTCTGGTGATAAAGACAGACACATGTCACTCTGTACTTGTTGCAAATACCCTTAAAAAACAACAAACATCAAGTAGTGATGAGATAAATAACTCAAAAGCAGAATTTCTTAAGCTGTGCCAGAGGTGATCTGTAGCAGTTGTAAGCCTGCAAAAACTTCGACCAATTTTTGCCATGAGGTACCAATCTGTTGAACCAATCAGACGCCTCCCTGTCTCCCTGCTCGTTCTCTACCTCACGCATGCATGAGCCCACACTCAAAGCACGAGCTGAGGTCCGCTTCTGGACCAACAGCACTTGTGCATGTAAATGAGGGGGCGTGGCTTTTGAGGGATTACAGAGGGGAGCGGGTGGGTGGGTGCAGACGGAGCACTGAGGGAAAGATACTTTCAAAATCATGCTAGTTTCTGAAAATGACCAACCCTACCTTTAAGATGAGCTGTTAGAAAGTGAAGGTACACTTTCTAATTGGACATTATAATGCAGCGTTGATAACTGCTGTATAACAATCTGTTTTGCATAACTTTTTGATTTCTGGTTAATGTAAATTTCATCGATACGCTATCCTAAATTAATCTCATGATCACCACATGAGAAGTAAAATGGGAGAGCTTCTCGTCCTCTTACGTGAGGTTAAACTTAAAATTGAACTGCCATGTTGATGTCCCAGGAGGATATTCCCCTTGTTCGTTCATAAACGTGAGGCCCAGCTGGATAATCTTGAGCAGATCCACATTACAGCGCAGTAGCTGGTACTGATAGTCTGCATTGCTTCTGAACTCTCCGATGGGTCTGGCTACAACACCTGGAAACTCTGTATCCTGTAAGATGACAGACACACATTATGCAAAAAGATATCCTGGCTACATCAGACATAATTACGCCCTCTTTCAGAAGAGCATTACTCACCATAGCAATATGGTTGTATTTTCGGATGACATTTCGAATCCTCTTCAACTCCTCCTCCAGGTTATTGGCCCAAACCTCACATATTCTTTGGCTGTGATCCACAGTAGCTGCGGGCATAGTGCCACTTTACCATGCAAGGAGAAAAAACGCCAGAAAGACAGAAGCCTTCACATGAGAGGTGGTGTATAGACCCAATGTGCTTTCCTGCAAAAGACTTGACAACAGGAGGAAAGGGGAAGGGTGTTTTAACTCATGATCACAAGATACCCGAGTATTGCTTTAAATCAATTTTGGCTAACAATTTATAGGGTTATGATTTTAATTGTAGTAAGCCCAACCCTAGCTTAGTATGTCAAATCAGCTGACTCAATTTCAGTTTTGACAATGGCATAGCTAATTAAATCTCACAGCCCCCACTCACTCTTTTTAGCAGCAGTATTCACAGCTCAATGAAGCAACATAAATGCAGACACACATGTGAACAGCAGCAGCAGGAGCCTGTATGGCTGCTGGTACCATTAGCCCGTCGCAGGTAGTTTTCAGCAGCACTTTGGGCTAGCTACATTACCTGCAGCAGTTAGCAGCCTACAGACTTATTGCTAGCTAACATGAGCAGGACAGTGCAGTATCTCAGGTGGACAGTTTCTGCACACTTCTCAGGTACACTCTTTAGCACGAAAGATACATAACATGACATGACAGAGAGAGGTGTAACAAGCTGCAAACACACAGTCGGCGTCACTTTGATAAAGCTCACTGACTACAACTTACCGTTCCCCGAACCGGCCGGGTGTGTGTTTTAATTGTGTACTATCAGAAACACTTTATTTGTTCTACGCTACTGTGTCGGGGTTTTATCGCTAACTTTTAAATAGTTTATATTCAGTAATGTATCGATGTCAGCCCACGGCTGCCATCACAGCTATGCCTACAACACTACGTCATTACGTACAGGAGCGTCATGTGCGTATGTATGCATGTATGTATGGTGTGTGGGTCACGTCTGCTTGGTATGGGTGAGTGGAGCATTTCAAATGTGTCCTCAAATACTTTAATATGAGGATTCATGTAAAATAAACCTTGTTAGTGTTTCTTCTTTCTATTCTTTAGATTAGAATATGTTGCAAAAATATAATGGTAGCAAAAATGATGTTTGTTCCTCATAGTACAGTTTTAATATGTTAATAATTCAAAACAAGGTAAATATGAAAGCAGATTCAAATGCTTTAGGGCAGTGGTGTCCAAACTTTTTTTCTTGCGGGCCACAGGTTTTGTTTTTAAAATATAGTTGAAAAAATAGGAAGGCTTTGTAGATCAGAATCAAAAGGCTCGCTAAAGAAACCCTTAAATAAAAGGAAATCAAATATTTTGATTTCTTCGTTCTACTTTATTTGTTTTTTCTCAGAATCAAGTCTGTAACGTGGTTCATGTTTTTGGAAAAGCTTTCTGCATTTAGCTCAGGTCATTAAATGGTTAAACAATAGTCCGCTTGTTTGCACGTTTTTTTTCATAGTTTACAAAAAAATTTGGAAAATAGTAAAAGCTGTAGATTTAAAAAACAACAACAACATACATGTCACTGAACATTTTCTATTTTAGGAATATTGTTCAGCCCCTGTTAACATGAAAAAGAAAAACAAGATAATGTGCCAATCTTAATCAAGGCCTCGGGCCAAAATCTTCTGATTCTTCATTTGAAGTCACGGCCGCAAAAAATCCCCTCAAGGGCCGCAAATGGCCCTCGTGCTGCACTTTGGACACCCCTGCTTTAGGGTCATCTTAGCTGCAGTACTGATGCTGACGGAGCTTCAGGGCCTGAAGCTGACTCAGTGCAGCTTATATGATTATTAAACCGAGGGAGTCTTTTGTGATATCACAAGTCTAATATGCTTTTATGTAAATCTGACTCCTTAAAGACCAGGCAAGTACACATCATGGACTAATTTAAACATAATTGACAATTACGTTTTTATTTAAACTGATACAGGTTTCACAACTTTGCATTTAATCAGTTTGACAAATTTGGCTCTTATTCCATCTGAACAAATAAACACATAAAGCTCTTATACATGGTCAGAAGTTATTATGACCACACAATTTAGACTTTCTTATACAAATAAAAACAAACACATTAAAGAAAGATTACAGTAGTCAAAAATATGTCATGGTACAAAAATATTTGAACATGCAATGCTTGATAATCTCCGCTTTGTTCATTTGCAGTTTTGGAGTGCATCACATGCGTATTTTACGCTATTAAAGTCAGCGGTTTAAATGTTCATTTTCAGTTGGCACAAGTCCTCCAAATGTTCATAATCTGCTACATGTAGCAGACTTATTTTAGTGTTCACATGCTCTAGTTTTTTTGGTTCAGTGCTCATTAGGCTCATCATCTACTCTGCAATGATCTGTTACCATCAGACAGTCGATCAGCTTTTGTAAAGTTTGATCATCAGGTGTTCAAACGCTATGAAGAAATATGCAAGTGTCAAAGCTTACTTTGACATCTTGCAGAGGAATCATTACATGTTTATGTGAGTGAAGTTAAAATACAAGTCTGGACCTCAAGGTGGAATAAACCACAACAAAACCACTGATTATAGAATAGTGGCGAGCCAAGGTCTCTGATGTGTCCCGAGTTTAGTGCAGTTATTATCAGTGCCATGGGATTTAAAAAAACTGCTACATTTTGACTTTAACTACATTTTTTGGTTCAACAGGATACGTCTTGATAACAGGAAGGAAGTTACCATAAGGTGCAACATAAATTCAATCAGCTTATGGACAAAATGACCCAAACAATCGATAAAGAACTTTACGAGATAACTCTTTACAAACATTGCTACAGAGCTACGTTATTATAAATTCCCTCGAGCACCTCGTGTTGGCAGCCTTTATTATGTCGTCATTTGCCTTTTAACGACCTTCAGTTTAAAAACATTGTTGTTACTTCCTATTGTTTTATCATTTAATTGTCTGATAGCTTTAACTCTGTTCTGATTTCCATTACAATAACATTTATGTATTTATTATCAATTCACCTAAAATAGATTTGGAACTCATGAATTAATCTTAAAAGTGCTCGCCACTTCCTGTCCTTTTCCGTAAACTGTTGACATTTCAAAGCAAAATACCTGATATAAAAAAAAAACATTTGACCGTAGCAAACACCAAGCACACAGCTAAATGGCTGCCAAATATTCCCATGACAATCAGAATTTCTAAAACTGAGGTAAGAAGCTATATGTAGTCGTTACAATAAACACCTACTAACTTGAATGCACACAGAAACAGGAAGAGTCTACCACCACACATGCAAACAGAAGTGCAAATCAATTGTGTAACCCAACTTAGCCCACATCTGGGTTACATGGTAAAGGCAGTGTTTGTTCGGTGGCCCTGTTGACGGCTTGTAGGTGAAGCACCTTCTTCCAGAACGCTACATTTGCTCAGGTAAATAAGTGGGCAGCCTCATCAGAGTCTGGGTCCTTGGTACTGTCCTCGCTGAGCGGTGAGCGACAGCTCAGGTCTGCAATACCCGACTCCTGGTCGCTGCTGCTGGAGAGGTTGAACTCAGACGTCTTGGTCAAGTCCTGGTTCAGGAGTATCAGGCTGCTGTCTGGTGCTTTAGGCTGACAGGGCTGCTGGTGATGAAGCCCCCAGTGTAGTCCTGAGGAGTGTTGGCCATATTTAGGTTGTTACCTTGAGCCCACGCTGTGGGGCTGTTGTCAAAGGGAGCACTTTTCTGTGTAACGCTGTTCCACCCCTGCTCCTTCTCCAGATGAGCAATCTTCTGTTGATAATGAAGGAAGGAAAAGTATTGCAGTGTATGATTTTTCAGGATAAATAAGCAGCAGTATGAATGTATAGCCCTGTCCTACCTGTTTGTGTGAAGCCAGCTGCTCCTCCAGCTGCTCTGTCTCCTCTTGGATTGCACTCAAGTAATCCTCTACAGACTGGCGAGGATGCATCCCTCGGTCAAAGCGGTTGTACAGCCCTCTCCAAAACCTATATGAAGCAAGAAATATGGAAATAATGGATGGATTTATATCAAAACAGTCTTACGACAGACCTGAAATAAACAAACATGTAGCAGTAAATACTTGTATGTCCTGATTTTTGACTCAGGCTGTACATGTTGTTCCTGTCTGTGGGGACCTACTTAAAGCAGTAGGGGGCAGTAGATGGCCGAAGGAGCCCCTGTGTCTGGCTGTGGTCTTCTCGGTACAGAGGATTGATGTAGACTGCTCGGTTTGTCCATAGATAACTCCACAAAGAGTGAGTCCTCTCTAGCAGTCTGTAGGAATGTCAAATGGCAGTGAAGAAATAAAAAAACAGGGATAAACAGTTTGATCACATGATTCAAAGACTTCTGATCAAAGAAAGAAAACTTTTATGTCCACCAACTAGAATAGAGGTGTCTCTGTTTGAATTAGCCCTGTGATGTGATTAACTGCTTTTGGCTGTCACTTCTCTTTAGTAGCCTGTCTTCTCCCAGTGCAGTCGCTCTGACCAGATGTCTGCGCTGTGAAAAGGAAAAGAAACGGATGGCGGCTGCAGGTGTAAATCTCACCGCAGATCTGTCCTCTCCCGCTGGTTGTTACCAATGAAGTTGCCAAACTGGCAGGAGTAGATGTGGCTGTGAATGGTGATGAGGAACCTCTCACTGAACTCAAAGGCACAGGGGAACTGCTCCATGAGCTGCCACACACACTCTAGGAACTGATCTATGATGGGAGATACCTCTTTGGGGTCTCCCACCAAGTGGTTGCACCTGAAGATGAGGAAAGGGCTGTTTACTTGGAGGAGAATGGCAAATCCAAAGTGCTATGAGAGTTTATTGTAAAGGCAAACCTGTGAGAGAACTTGTGTCCAAATGAGACCCAGTCTTTCTCGATGAGAACCTAAAAGCAGAATTAAAAAAAGAAAGTCATACATAGTTCATGCACATTTAAAGTTTCTGAATGCTGTGAGCAAAGGTACTGCTGAACCTCTTTACCCTCACTCTGATTTTTTTAGAGCTAGGCTTGTCTGTGAAATGTATTTTCCACTGTGGCTCTTAGTGGATTTCAGGTTAGCCTGCTAAAGATCCTTCTAATAAAAGACACAAGTCCCAGAGTGTAATGTTTGAAATACTAACAGGTACAGTCATACTGTTCCTCAAATATGAATACAGAGTGTAGCAGAGGGGTTTATGATATCACTACTGCTACTAAAGTAAGTAACTTTATTCTACACTGTAGCTTTAAGAGAAATAGTAACAAGGTGTAGTATCTACCATGAATCCTCTGAGGGTCCTGTAGTACGGATCCAGCAGCACAGAGGCCACTGAACACACCTGGGCTGTTCGGTCCCAACCGTCTGAACAGTGAACTAAGACACTGACGCCCTCCTCTGCAACAGCCTACACACACACACACACACACACACACACACACACACACACAGACACAGACACACACACACAGACACACACACACACAGACACACAGAGTACAGCTATTGTCACAGAAAGTCAAGTTCCTTCATAAGAAGCAAATTTCAGCAACAAGGCAAATCAAAGTCACTAGACATCTAAAGCATCATGACAAAGGGAAAAAGAAAATAATTTTTAAACCAACTAAAAAAAACCATGAACATTCAACATGAAGATATGTAAACATAAATACAATTGTCAGAAAGAAATGCTGAAATATAACAATAAATGAAAATAAGACATTCAAATACAGCAGTTAGTCTGCCGGTTAGTGTGCACGCCCCAAGTACAGGGGCTGAAGTCCATGAAGTCACGGGTTCGAATCCGACCTGTGGCATGTCTTTCCCTACTCTCTCTCTCTCCCCACAGTTTCTATCCACTGTCCTGTTTCTAAAATAAAGGCATAAAATGCCCCAAAATAAATCTGAAAATAAAAAGAAATACAAAAAAAAAAAATGACCTCCAGTTTGGAGTGTCCTG